TTGGTTGTGGTTGCTCACAAAATTAAAGTAGTTTATAGTAGCTGCCTCCCCCCTCTGTAGCACAGTAATGGTTTAACCCAAAGTAGCACAGCATTCTCATTTCAGCCCATCTGTTACAATCACAATTCAATTCAAATCAAATAATTGGTTTCTAACATCAGTATTCAGTAGTGATAGTTTCAATATATGAAAATAATCACAGTATATAATTCCTAGAAAATTGAATATAAAAAGTATCTATAAAATAATAGAAATGCAATGAATTCTTTTAATATATAATGAGAAATTGGTTGCTAGCACCTGCTAAAGTGTTACATACCCAAACCATGATAAGAGTTTTATCACTGTAAAAAGTATTTTTAATATTGAGAAGTGATGTAAATTGCAGCCCAGCTGCTCCATGAGATCGTTGTCATGTTCAGTTTTATTTTGTCAATCACATCAAAACATTGATTATTGCCCATCTAGTTCTGCTGACAAATCTGTCGCTGAATACGTAGCTCACAATACGACAAATCTGTTTTAGTCAGAGCACACATTTGACTAAATGCAGGTCAATCAACAGGTATCTACTACATTACAGTGAATTTCATGAAGGCATGAAAGTTTCTCTTATAAATTTCGAAAGGCGATTGAAAAAAAAAAAAACACAATGTCTTGAAGAGTATACTAGTATACCATGCATATATAACATGATAGTAACATAGGCAATGATTAAAAGAAACCTGCAAAGACTCATGGGTAATGCACATTATTAAGTGGGTTCTATAGCCAAAAGTGTCTTCTTCAGATCTGACTGAAGTACAAAGGTCTTCTGCTATATAAATATTTTATAAATTTCCATGAAAAATTTACTGTATTATAAAAAGTGCCTTTCCACTTTAATTTTAATAATTTTTTCACACAGACATTCAAACTGTTCATTGAAATGCAATGATTCAGAATTCATAGCATTTCGTATTCAAGGGCCATGGACGTTTGGTAGGGTTTTTATTTTGCTAATACTTTACATGACTGATTTATAATTAATAAAAATACACATAAGTAGTATTCATTCATTACATAGAAGAAAGTAAATGAAATCAAATAAAAAGTTGCTGAAATGACCTTCGCTTCTTGTATATATGGTAAGCTTTGGTTTGATTCACGCATGCTGTACAACATCGTATTTACAAGTCGTGGACATCTTAGTAAATATATGAGATACGGCAGAGATTTCTAAACAAAAAATTAGGGTCTCTTTAGGTTAGAGTGAAACTGTAAATTGGGTTTGTGAATGCCTTAACAGTAAATAAGGACTTTATTACTTGTATCGTGTGATTGTAAAAAGTGGAGTAATGACTTGAGCTTCTTGACGAAAAATGGTCTATACTATGTCGCCAGAATACTTGAGCTATAGCTTATAAAAGTAAGAATTATACTTTAATCCTAGAGACGATGTAATTTATTTCATTTAAGTACTTTTTTTATGAGATCAGACATAATTATACCGCTACCAAACAGGCAGACTGTTTTTATCTTGCAAAAAGGAAAATGGTACTGCAATTAATTGAACAATACAGTAGTTCACATGTAATTGCTCCTGATGAGAATGATTCAAAGGATGGAATTATCTGAACAAACATGAGTTGCCAGGGACATGAGTTCTATTCTAATAAAGAATATGCACAATATATTCAAAATTAGAGCCACGAGTACCCCCCTTCTGTGATGTTTGTTTGTTTGTAAATAACTATCCTCCACTGTACAGCTACAAAATAGCTCTAACCTAGTTGCACTATAGTGTCTAAATATTTAGAAAACCAACAAGACTACAGAAAATAAACAACAGCACTGGCAATTAGTCTGGGACTCCAGGCCAAATAAATACTATATAAAATATCTCTAAAGTGAAGACAGTTGTTTATCTTAGCTGTTCTGTAAGACAACACAACAGCAGCATGTATTGATTGTACAGGAGAAACTAACGGGGGACTTGTGAGAAGCAAATCAACTGATGACTTCTAGAAAATTACTGGTTCTTTTACTATCAAATAATTTAACACTAGTTTTAATGCAATTTTATGTGCAGCATCATTTTCGATAATGTTCATTTAAATTACCATATGTGGAGGTTGTTGACTTTTACTTCAAAACCTATTTTTTATGCTAACACAAATATATTTTTCGTTTTTATGTTTGATGATTTAACTACATTATTACAATTCAATTCATACCATAAAGAATAAGTATTTCAACCAAATGTCACCAAGCAACATTTTTTGATATGAAGACATATTTAATTTCCACCATAGAAACCAATGCAGAAAATAATCCTCATTTATGGACAAGCTGCCACTTGATAGCAAGTTTTGCAACCATAGAAAAAGTAAGAATTGGCAGGTTGTTGCTGAGTAACGAGCCAAGCGCTTCTTTATTAGCTCCTGCACAATACAATGAACAGTGGTCTTGAGTAAACAATCAACTGACAAATACACACTATGTGCTTTTGTTGTGACAATATAAAGTTTACATGCACCACTCAACTACCTTAAATGGTGAATAAAAAATGAAGCCACCTGAATAATAGCTGACAATTTATTACCAAAATTCAGGTACAGATTAAATTTGACAATATTAAGACAGATGACACAAATAAAAGCAACAGGAGAGCTAAATAACAGTCGCTAGATTAATCAAGATATAAATTTAAAAAATAACCATAAAGTCAATCAACATAATCATCTTCATTATATATATATATATTAACACATGACCAATAAAAGAAAAATGATGAAAAATGAAATAAAGAGAATTTAGAAAAGTTAATTAAATTTTGCTGATGTTATTTATTCAGTGACGAAAAAGCCTTTAAACAAAAATTCTGACATTTAAACTGCAATGATAATTTTTAAAAAATGGAATTTAATTTAAGCAAAAAATGTTATTATCAATGTGTGCAGTATATTCAAAATATTGTTATTTGTGTCATTGTAGCAATTTTAATCAAAGATCCCTATTTGACTCAAAAATTACTAATGTAGGTATCAAATGAGAAAGTAGTGACAATATCTGAAGTTTTATATAAATGAAAATACCAAAATGTCAACGAGTATGGATAAAAACTAACTTAGATACTGTAAATACATTAATTATCCACCAGGTTTTAATTTCACTTATATTGTCTGATAAGTATAGTGAAAATAAATGGTTTTATAATATGTCAGAACTTTCTTGAAAAATGTTGAAGAATGTTAAATTAACACGCACCCTGCACCCCCCTGCAATCAAGATAGTTTTAACCTTGATCTGATTTAGCAACAGCTATTAATTTAATCCAACCAGTAAATGAAATCCCCTCCACTTAACCCTTACAATTTTTCACCTTTACTTGTGTTCAGAATTGTCCCTGAATAAACAGAAGCTAAAAAGAAATGAGAATCTTCTGTGTTCAAGTACCCAAGTAACCATGGCAACCTTATCATTCTTCTGTATACAACTTAAAACTGCCAAGGCCTCAGGCCATGCTTTTGGCAAAATTTCAAGATATTGTGGAAACAATACAACAAACAGCGTGCAATTACAAATCAATGAAATGTGAAGGTGGGGGTGGGGACATATACGACCATATAGAAGTTGTATTGAAACCTCCAGTTAAGTTGTGAACAGTTAACTAACAATGAACAATAAAGTCCCTGCATCTCTCCATAGAAAAAAACAATCAATTGCATTTTTGTTCTAAACCACTGCTCATCGTGGAAAAACCATGGCAACAGCAAAGATGCATTTTTTAATCAAAGTTTCAATAATAAGTGAAATTAGAAAATTGATTGGTATAAAAAGAAAAATATACTACTGTTTATGATTTCTTGTAAAAAAAATGTGAATGAAAAATAAATGCAAACAAGGGAAGTAGATACGTCTCATATGGGATCGTTAGCAATGAACCATATAATTCACTAAGGTACATTTTGGCAAATGATCCCTGTTCAGAAATATGATAAGACTGAGCATTTTTTCAAGGGATTAGTGCATTCATTGTTTGTGTATACCCATCCCAATGCACATCACCGCTGGAATTCATTATTTGTCCTTGAATAACCCTGGCAATAAAAAAATATTTATCACAAACTAACTATCATTATTATTATTATTTATTTTTTTTACTCAAAATTGTGGAATGTTCTTACCTTTCCAAATGTATTTAGTAGAAACACCTCTGATGTGTCTTCTTCAGTCAGTACAGTCTTGTACCATCTCAAGACGACTTCAGGAGCTGATCCACTGTCCCCTGGTGAAGATTACGTAATAATTAATTTATGATAATTAGCGTTAATTATATTTACGTAATGTACTGTGTGACGAGGGTAAGTGGGGGCGAGATAATATCAGGAGAAGAAAGGGGCGCCTACGTATCGCACTCACCCGACAATACTCCTCTACAGCTCAAATAATGGTTCTGCAGATCGGATTCAGTACCGACTTCATCAAAACACTGGGGGCAACGCATATCGTCATGGAAATTCCGCGCGTCTGGTCAATCTGTAATTTTTCTCCAGGGCCGGTGTGAAATATGAAATTTAGTCCATTCGAAGCGGGTCACAAAATGGCAACTGACACGCTACACACGGGATCAGCTGTAGTGACAACACTTTCCGGGTCAATGTATTTGATGAGAGGTTTGGCCGCTCCACTTTAGAGGGGCCGAACTTTTGGAAAACTTTCTGTTTGTATGACGCCCTCAACACTATTTATTTGGTTATTGGGAGAATTTACTTTACGTGTTTTCATTTTTGAAATGTCTATTTTCTCATTTTAATTGATTGGTGGAAAACATACATTAAGATGGAAGCCTACTCATGAATAAAAAAGAGGGAATCTGTGGCAATATGAGTCGCCAGCTTAATTTTCGAAAAAAATATAATTGCCATTGTAGCAGTATTATAACGCTGTTACCATGGGTTCTTATAGCAGGATATTATATGGCATATCTTAAATTGTAGGCTGGTGACATAGGCTGAAAAAATGATATAATAGTATTGGTAATCTCGAAGTACTTATTGTTTCCCCGAGTTATTTAAAAAATCTAGGTTTCAAAAAGTGTTGAAAATACTATTTTTGTTCTATGGAATTGTTCTAAAAATAACGATTTTTGAAAAATATTAGAACACGTTTTTCCAAAAAAAAAAACTCACTGTGATACACACAAACAAATTTATGTTGTGTGTCATGGAACAATAGCTTCATGAATG